AAACACATAAGGTGCACCACCAATACAAAGTTTAAATAACTACACTAACTACAGCTACAGGCAGTTACAAATATAAGTTGACACCACGCACTCATTGCCCGTCTCGTCAAACAACACCACAGCGACAACTGCGACCCTCAAGCACCCAAGTTGCTTCGACACAAGCAAATTCGACAACCACGATCCAAGCTTCAACGACCTCAACTGGACAACCTGCACAAGGAGCAAGAAATATAGTTAACTGCATCAAGATAAACGACTCTTGCATAACAGAGTCACCACCCCACTACTCACCAAAAGAGGAGCTCGACAACAGAACGCCTCGCCGCGAATCACTCCACCCGAATCCGACTTACGCCGCCATCGCTCAAAGTGAACCGTCCGGCCAAGACACTTGGTTCTTGGACAGCTGCTGCGGGCAACATATGTGCTCGTCCGGGCATTTCGTACAACGCGAACATCGACTCCAACGAGAAGTGATCATCACGGTTGCCAACAATCAAAACCTGCGCACACGAAGACAGGGAGTGGTACAGCTTCAGTCAAGAGAAACAAATGTCATACTGCACATGTCTAAGTTACTCATCGCTGAAGGACTCGGCTACAACTTACTGAGTGTTAGCCAGTTGGTGGCGAAAGGAATCCATCTGGAAGCCGACAGCACAACCCAGGAGTTCAAGCTTTACCACGGGAGAGGCGGTCTCTACATCGGGAAGGCAGTGCTGAAGAATAACGTTTTCGTCCTCGACTTCGTTCCCGACCTCGGCACTGCAGACAGCGACGCCATTGTGAACTTTGCTGATTGGACACACCCTCCGGATCTCGACCCCGACTTCAGCCCGGGAGGTTTCTGGTACTCCCACACTATCCCTGAAGCAGAACGAACAAGAGCGTTAGCAACGATCCAACAAGAAGCAGAGGCAACAACATCGGCAGCAGCAACAACATCGGCAATAGCAACAACATCGGCAGCAGCAACAACATCGGCAACAGCAACAACATCGACAGTAGCACACAACATCAGCAGCAGCAGGAACAACGACACCAGTCACAGTCGACGAAGAACCACCAACACCCGCGCAACAGCTGCATCCGACTCAACGTGAAGTCCACCGAAGCGCCAACCTCGTCGCCAGTTTTTACTCCAACTCCGACGCATATCAGCGTTCACCTGGACACCGCGCCTCTGAAGAGATCTGGCACGCACGCACAGGACACCCAAGCAACACAGTTTTGAACAACACGATAAGAGCAGGAGTCCTTGACAAAGACTCTTTACTTCTACCCGACGGCAGAGAACTCCAAAAGGCACGAGGGACTTGCCTTATATGTCCCGAAGCTGACTTACCTCATCGACCGTTTGCTCCACACCACAACCCGAGCGCTCCAGCGTACACACCACTCGAAACAGTCTACAGCGACATCCTCTACAATCGCGAACCAGGACAAGTCAACTACAACTACACCATCACCTTCATCGACGCCGCCACTCGATACGTCTCGCATCGCAACCTACCCAGACGCGACATGGCACTCGCAGCATTCGCCGCCTGGCTATCGATAGCAGAAAGAGAGTCTGGAACACAACTGAAAAGTTTCCAGTCAGACGGAGGTGGGGAGTACACCTCTCAGCGCTTCAAGCAGTTCCTGGCGGAAAGGGGGATCCAGCAACTCCTCTCCCTTCCCTACGCACATCAGCAGCAAGGTGTTGCAGAACGAATGAACAGGACTCTGCAGAACAGCATGCGCAAACTGTTACGGGGCATGCGGCTACCCAACCACCAGTGGCCAGCAGCAATGGACCACGCTGTCATGCTGCACAATTTGTTGTCGTCGTCGTCACTCCCGAACAACGCATCACCGCATCTGCTGTGGACAGGGAAGCAGGGCAGCACAAAAATGTTACGAGTTTTTGGGTGCATGGTACAGTACAGACCCCCAGAAGCACGAGCGGGAAGATTTTCGCAACGGGCACAGTGGGGACTACACCTCGGCATCGAGAAAAATTACAACGCATGGAAGATCTTCGACGTCCACACAAAGGAAACAGTAGCAGCACGTGACGTGATCTTCTACGAAAGACTCACCCTTCAGACGTACCTCGCCAACTTGCACGAGAATCGGGACCTCACCAGTGGCTTTCGTGGTGACCGAGCCTTCGCGTCAGCAGCGGACGAAACAGACTGGGATGAACAGAACGTCGACAACGCCTCGGAGGAAGCCGGACCTCTCCCATACTGCTCCGTCGACGTGCCCATGGATGAGGATAATCCTCGCGACAGTAACAACGCCGAAGTCTTCTACCGTTTCGCCGACGATGGTTACGTAACACCTGTGACAGTCAACACCAACGAAGCAGAAAGGGTAGGGCCAAATTTCATGCCCGACCCAGAAGCGGGAGACGAAGCAGCTTATCCCGAGGATCCAGAACTCCCTCGATACTCACAGACTGGGCTGCAAATCCTCGGTCTCGTCACCGCAGTCCATGGCGCCGGCATTCCTAAGGAGCCTGCGACGGTTCAACAGGCTCTGGGGGGGAACACAGGGAGAAATGGCGTGAAGCCATGGACAAAGAGCTGAAGGCACTGGAGGAGCGCAACACCTGGAAAATTGTTCCCATCGGCGTAGCCCAAAACAAAACTATTCTTACCGGGAAATGGGTCTTCCGTGTGAAGACGAAAGCTGATGGCACCATCGACAAATTCAAAGCCCGTTGGGTCGTACGTGGCTTCGACCAGGAGCACGGAAGAGATTACACCGAAACCTTCGCTCCGGTCAGCTATCACACCTCACTCCGAATTCTCAAAGCCGTCGCCGCCATGAAGAAAAGGAAATTACGACAAATCGACGTTGCGAACGCATTCCTCTACGCACCTGTGGATGCAGAAATCTTCGTCGAACTCCCGCACGGCTCCCACGGCGAACCCAACCGAGTGTGTCAACTACTCAAATCACTCTATGGGATCAAGCAGGCACCGTGACTATGGCAGCAGTACCTACACGCCCGTCTCACCCGCATCGGCTTCAAACAACTCCCGCATGACCAGGGCATGTATCGCCTCACAAAAGGAAGCGATTACGTCCTACTAATCGTCTACGTTGACGATCTCCTCTACATTGGTTCAACCGACGACATCGCCACGTGGTTCGAAGGGGAGCTTCAGAAAGACCTCACGCTCACGGTCTCCCCTACGGTTATGCAGTACCTCGGGCTCAACATCCCTGAGGAGGAAAACGCAATCTACCTAAGCGCCGAGAAGTACGCCGACACTATCGCGAAACGTTTTCGCCTCACACCAAGCGCCATCTCCACGCCTTACCGCTACACGTCAGGAACCGAAAAGGGGCAATCTACTCTACTCAAGCCCGCCGGCATACGCGACTATTAGAAGAAGCTCGGATGCCTCCTCTTTGCAGCAGTCACATGCCGTCCTGATCTATCCTACTCCGCGAGCCAGCTTGCCACCTATCTTAAGAGGCCTGAAGCAGAGCATCTGGCGGAACTCGATCGTGCTCTTCACTACTTCGTCAGCACCGCGACGATCGGACTAACTTATCACAAAAACGTGACTACACCGACCAAGCTATCGGCTACGTCGACGCCGATCACGCCGGCGACACCGATAACAGGCGCTCACGCACCGGCTATGTCTACCGCCTTGAGCCTATCGGTCCTATCTCCTGGCAGTCGAGCAAGCAGGAGTTAATCGCACTGTCCTCAGCAGAAGCAGAATATATTGCACTCTGCTCAGCCACCAAGGAGGGACTCTACCTTCGCGAACTACTGGAAGAAGCGAAGCTAGCCGAGTTACCCAGCTTCACCGTGTTCTGCGACAACCAGTCAGCAATTCGCATCGCCAACAAAAACGGTTTCGCAAACAGGACGAAACACATCGCCCTACGCTATTTCTTCGTGAAGGACGAGATCGAGAAGAGGAAACTCGATCTGTCATACTGTCCAACATCCGAGATGGCAGCCGATTACTTGACCAAGAAACTCGGAAAGCAGAAGTTCGAATACTGCATGATGCTGACTGGACAAGGCCACGTCACCAGCAGCGACACTCCAGAAGCGAAGGGGAGGGTTGGAAACAATAAGCCTTAAATGCGTTTCTGTCGTGTCAAAATCCAAGGCACCAAACGAAGCAGTCCCAATCGAAGCATCGAGTCAAGCTCGGAGGTTAGGGTAACCTCCTGGAGGTTACGAGAAAGTCAAAGGTCAGCGACCTTTGACTCGACAATTACAGCGCGACAGTTAAGGACACACAACTGACTCGTTACAGAGCAGTTGCCCGAGTCGCACTGTATCGAATCGCAACAGCAATACAGTTATCTATCTATTCGTATTCCCTGTACTCTTATATAAATCCTTGTATTTGCTCGTGTAATTTAATCTACTTTGCTCTCACACACTAGTGCAAGGTTGGTTCACAATCTTCATTAAACGCTTCCGCTATTACAAGTTTCTACCCAAGAGTTATCCTCTGCAAAAGATCCTAAGGGCTTTTCTCAGCCCAACAAAGAGCACACTGCCGAAGACGCTACATAATGCTGAGGCTGAGGAACAAGTGGTGTGATGTGAGTAGTGTAATTGGCCTTGCACCAACAAGGAAGGGTTACGGAAGGCAGGGCAGGCAGGCAGTGCAGGAAAGAAGGCAGAGAAAGGGAAGGAAGATGAAAGCTGAGTATAGGCAGGGCACACAGCCGGGAAAGGCGCCCAGTTCACGAGAGCCAGTCCAGTGTTGAGACGCCCCCGCTCAGTGCTCTAAGGGCGATCATCTTGGCCTTGCGACTGCCGAATAGGGCCTGTTGGCGTTTAAGGGAGAAACTGATGGGAGTGGTGATGTGGCCCTGTGGCTGCAGAATTGGGCTGTTGGAGCAACTTGGAGAGTAGGGTAGCGCCGTGTGGGGAGCCTGTGTATGCTGCTAAGTCACATCGATGATTTTAGTAGGGCAGCTGTTGACAAGAAAAGGTTTCAAGGGATTTTGACGACAAAATATTATGGGATGGATGGGCCGCGCCCCATGCGCTGCCATGCACGTCTTGATTCACAGGGCGAGGTGCACTCCGTAGCACCCCGGCATGAACAGGAGTGGGCGGGAGAAGTGGAAGGAAGAACGGGAGTGAGGGGAGTGGGGGGTTGATAAAGGGCAGGGGAAGCAACGAACATGCGCAGACAAGGAAGGGCAGAGAGAGCTGCAGTGCACAGCACACCATAGCATCCTGCCATGATTCACTGGAAGAGGTGGAACGTGTGGGGTTTTGGATGGTGGAATGGATGGTAGGGAAGGAGGAGGAAACAACGAGGAAAGCTATGACAGGGGATAGCGAGGTAAGGCGGGGGGATGTTCATGCTGTAGCGCCCTGCCCTGATGGGCGGGAGAGCTGCAAAGGTGTGGGTTGGTGGGAGGGATGGGTTGATGCAGGGGAGGGATGGGTTGATGCAGGGGAGGGATGGGTTGATGCAGGGGAGGGATGGGTTGATGGAGGGAAGGGATGGGTTGATGCAGGGGAGGGATGGGTTGATGCAGGGGAGGGATGGGTTGATGCAGGGAAGGGATGGGTTGATGCAGGGGAGGGATGGGTTGATGCAGGGGAGGGATGGGTTGATGCAGGGGAGGGATGGGTTGATGCAGGGGAGGGATGGGTTGATGCAGGGGAGGGATGGGTTGATGCAGGGGAGGGATGGGTTGATGCAGGGGAGGGATGGGTTGATGCAGGGGAGGGATGGGTTGATGCAGGGGAGGGATGGGTTGATGCAGGGGGGGGATGGGTTGATGCAGGGGAGGGATGGTGGAACCGGGATTGGAGAGGTCGGGAGAAGGGAGCTGGCGGTTGAACCGCCCAGCCATGCTGCGGTGAAAGAGGTGGGGAGGGCTGGGCAGTGGGGTTGGGAGTAGGTGGAGAGAGCCGAGGAACATGAATGTGCATAAGTACGGGTCTCCTGGCTCTTCGGTTCGATTGTTGAGGCCCTTCAAATGGGAGGAACATGAAGATGCCTGAATATGAGTCTCCTTTCTCCTACCTAGCTCCTGGTTCGTAGCTTGTGCCTCATGCAACCACGGGAGGTGGGCACATGCAGTGACCTTCCAAAGCTATTTAACATCAACCATTGTAGTGAGGGCCAAAGCCAATGCATGGGGAGACTGCTATCAAGCGGTTGATGGCATGGACTTAATTAAGTCCAATGGGATGGTCCAGTTCGCGGCAAAAGCTAGAAAACAAATCTGTGCCAGCCGGGAATCGAACCCGGGTCTGCACCGAACTGATGGCAGGGTGCCATTCTACCACTAGACCACTGGCACTAGGCAGATGTTCTAGGTATGGTGGGAATGATTTGGGTTATGGATCGATGGGATGGTAGTAGACACGAGATGTAGTAATGGAGTCATGGAATAATGGAATAATGGGGTGATGGGGAGATAGGGTGATGGGGGATAGGGTGTGGGGAGATAGGGTGATGGGGAGATAGGGTGTGGGGAGATAGGGTGATGGGGAGATAGGGTGATGGGGAGATAGGGTGATGGGGTAATAGCGTGATGCGATGAAGCGAGGGCGATGGGAGGGGGAGCGAGGGTGATGGGAGGGGGAAGCGAGGGCGATGGGAGGGGGAAGCGAGGGCGCCGGACGGTGAATGCAAGGTTGACAACGCTCTAATTTCTCATCTCGTGCCGCACATTTCCATGCTTCGCGCTCGCATTTGTGCCACATTCCCTCCCTTGGTTCTCGGATTCCTATCGATTGCGGCCTAAACGCATATATTCCCACATGTTATACCTTGCAAAGTCTAGATACTTCGTTTCCTTACACTCATGTTCTAACAATCTGGTCCCATCGCATGCTTTTCTCTCAGCCTGCTCCAAGAGTGCGCTTGTGGACTCGGCGAAATTCTGAGTTGTGAGCAGCGTGAGAGTGGTTGGGTATTGTTTTGTCGTTAGTGTTTGTTCAAGTTT